AGCGGTTGTTATCCCTTACCCTAGGCAGAGAAAAATTACTTGGAAAGAGAAACCATCAGCAACACTGAGAGAGTCGCAGAAGCAGAGATCTTAGAGTTAGCGTTATAGAAAGAAACATGGAACCGGGAAACCCTGCATCTACGCCCGAGCCCGAGTCACCAACCTCTCCTTCCGTCGGTTTCAACACTGACCAACTTCCCCACACCCACACGAGCCGCGCCTCCGACGACGAGGCTTCCGTTGACCCCGATATCGTGCGAGATGATCTCGAAGAACAACCGGAGGAGGAAGAAGATGGAGAGGATCTTTACAACGACAATTTCATGGAGTAAGTTCTATACTCTTTTTTTTTTTCTTCTTTCTTTCTGTTGTTTCGTTCCTCGGAAAACGCTAATCTCTTTGCATTCGCTAAATTTGGTTGAATGAAACAGTGATTATAGGAGGATGGAGGAGGCGGACCAGTTTGAATCGTTTGGGCTGGACGACTCGTTGGAGGATGAAAGGGATTTTGATCAGATCATGGAAGATCGAAGGGCTGCGGATGTTGAACTTGACAATCGCGATGGTCGCGCTACCAATCGCAGCAAGCTTCCCCAGCTTCTCCACGACCAGGGTAATGGTTTTTTTTTCATTTCGTCTTTTCCTTAAGTGCTAAGAAGCGGTAGCCCCAAATTGATTTTTTTTTATAAAAATTTTCTTTGCTGATCTGGTTTTTCTTCGAATGAACCGCTAAATAGATTTTGAATGGATGAAATATGTCTGGCTGCTGTACATTAAAAAATTCAAGGATAGTTTGGATGAGATATGAGTTGGATTACAGTAGATGGGTTCAAAACAATTTGAATTAGTTTGAAAGAATCTATTGCTCTCCAAAATGCAATTCATCAGCTATAGGGAGAAAAACAACTGAGTCGAGGTTAATCCCGGGAAAATTGATTGTATTGGTTGTGACAGAAATATTTGTTTGTAAGAGCAGAAGTTGGAATATCAGGCATTGATGCTTTGCAATTAAATATCTGATGCAAATGAATTTCTACTTATTATTTGTCTATTGTACAAACTTAAATGTTGAGGGAGTAAATTTGCCCAAGTTTTTTGGGGGACTAAAACCCCTCGTTATATAGAGGAGCTAGAAATGTGACTATAAGCCTTGTTAATTATTATTGTTAGAGAAGTTTTTGTATGCCAAACAGTGAAACACATGGTGTTGATCAGTGAAGTTTCTATTGCAGATACAGATGATGACAGTCACAGGCCTTCTAAAAGGGCCCGAGCCGATTTCAGGCCTCCTGTACCAAGTGATGATGATTTTGATGGGATGCATAGTTCACCTGGAAGGTCACAACGAGGGCACTCAAGAGAGGATGTTCCTATGACCGATCAAACTGAGGATGACCAAGATGATGTACTGTCGGCTTTGAATTTTATTTTATTTTATTGTCTTTTTCTTATTTAAATCTTCTGGCAGTTTCACCATTGGTTTTATTTTAACAATTATCATGGTACATGGAATGTAGGATGAATTTGATGATGACGCTGGGTATGAGATGTATCGTGTTCAAGGGACACTTAGAGAGTGGGTTACAAGAGATGAAGTGCGCCGCTTCATAGCCAGGAAATTCAAGGACTTCTTACTCACATATGTCAACCCAAAAAATGAACGTCAGGAGAAGGAATATGTGTGGCTTATTAATGAGATGGTGTCGGGTAATATATTTTCTAGTGTTGATGTCTTGTCCTTGTGAAGTGAGCAGTGTCGTTTTTGCATCAGCTTAGTCACTGTATCTATTAATGCAGCTAGCAAGTGCAGTTTGGAGATAGATTACAAACAATTTATCTACGTTCATCCCAACATTGCCATTTGGCTGGCTGATGCGCCTCAGTCTGTTTTAGAAGTAATGGAAGATGTTACCAAAAGTGTTGTCTTTGATTTACATCCAAATTACAGAAATATACACCAAAAAATTTATGTACGCATATCCAACCTGCCAGTTTATGATCAGATTCGAAATATAAGGTAGCATAAATGATAAGACTGATGTGTTATTCTATTCTCCTTTTTTTTCTCCATTGAATGGAAAAAATTAAAATTGGCTTCTTTGGACAGGCAGATCCACTTGAATACAATGATTCGAATTGGTGGAGTTGTAACCAGACGCTCTGGAGTTTTCCCCCAGTTGCAGCAGGTGAAGTATGACTGTAACAAATGTGGAGCAATTTTGGGACCATTTTTCCAGAATTCTTATTCGGAGGTGAAAGTTGGATCCTGTCCAGAGTGTCAATCAAAAGGACCATTCACTGTCAATATTGAACAGGTACAACTTTTTTCTATCCTTGTATTTTCTGTTTTGGTTTTGTGAAAGAAGATAAGGGTGAGGATATCTAAATTACAACTTTGTATGCACATATCCTTCTGAATATTGATATCCATTTTGATTAGGCTAAATGACTGCAAAAGGCCTTTTCCATTAAGATGTTGCAAAATAAGTTGATCAACATTACTTAAAAGAAAATGATAAACTCATTTTCTTCTTTTTATGCTTGTTGTAGACAATTTATAGGAATTTTCAGAAGCTTACACTCCAAGAGAGCCCAGGAATAGTTCCTGCCGGTCGGCTTCCGAGATACAAGGAAGTGATACTATTGAATGATCTGATTGATTGTGCTCGCCCTGGGGAAGAAATTGTATCATCTTTTACCTAGACTCATTATTTTTTGGTCCTAGTGTTGAATGGTTTTCTTATGTTTATATGCTGTTGTTTTAGGAGGTTACAGGTGTTTATACGAATAATTTTGACTTATCCCTAAATACAAAAAATGGGTTTCCAGTGTTTGCCACTGTTGTTGAGGCAAATTATGTTACAAAAAAACAAGACCTCTTCTCTTCCTACAAACTTACACAAGAAGACAAAGAAGAGATTGAAAATTTGGCCAGAGACCCCCGAATAGGAGAAAGGGTTTGTTCTCTAGAATTTTTGTTGGTATTTTTCTTTCAATTTGATTTTTGTTGTGTAATGTGCTATGAAAAAAATTTCAGATTATCAAGTCTATTGCTCCATCAATTTATGGTCACGAGGACATAAAAACTGCAATAGCTTTAGCTATGTTTGGAGGCCAAGAAAAGAATGTGGAAGGAAAGCATCGACTGCGAGGAGATATAAATGTTCTTCTTCTTGGTGATCCAGGAACAGCAAAGTCTCAGTTTCTCAAGTATAATTTTATCCATTTTATTTTTTAGATATCTTTCCTCTTATAAACGTGATCAATAAATTAACAAATATTTTAAAATCTACTAGGTACGTTGAAAAAACTGGGCAGAGAGCTGTATACACTACTGGCAAAGGGGCTTCTGCCGTGGGTCTCACAGCTGCAGTTCATAAGGATCCAGTCACAAGGGAGTGGACTCTCGAGGGGGGAGCCCTTGTTCTAGCGGACAAAGGAATTTGTCTTATTGATGAGTTTGACAAGATGAATGACCAGGATAGGTAAGGAAATACCTTGTAATTGCTTGAAATTTCTTAATTACAGGATGTTAATATCCGCCTCCAGCAGAAAGAAAAGGTAATAAATTGTCCTTCACCATGAAGTTACATATATTTTTTTGTTACCAGGGTA